CAGACGCCCTGCTGAGGAGGGAGCCCTATGCAGGACTCGACCTTGGATCATGACCTGAGCTGAAAGCAAATGCTTAATCGACTGAGCCACCCAGGGCACATTTCATTACATCCTTTAGATATGGATTATATCAATAATGTGGACTGCATACAAAAAGTTTGAGGACCTAAGGACCTAAGATTCTCACTGAGTTTCTGCTTTAGGGCTTCAGCTATGAGACACCATTCTGGGGGTACTCAAAAGTTGTATCTGCACTTACACAAAACCTTGGCTATAACCAGCCTTATTTGTTAAGCCTTCAGGCCTGCTCCCAGTTATCTTAGCCCTTACACAGGCCTCTGAATCTTGAAAGACTTGATAGTCCATGGCAATCAGTCAGGCCTGTGGCAATGATACTAACTTCAAGACTTTTTCCAAGAGAAAATACTGACTACTGCCCTATCATTCCTAGATAAGAAAGGAGTTCTCAGTTAACATATTTAAAACTATAGCTCTGGAAAGCAGTTAGCCAAAATACCACACTTCCTCTTTGATATTTTAAAAATCCTTTCTACTAGGGTGGAACTGAGTAGCCCTATTTTCTCCAATAACACTTTTTTTTTTCTTTGCAGAGACACAAAGAGTGGCTTTTCTCTATATTCTCAGTGCATTTCAATAACTGAAAAGGTCACTTCACAAAAATGTTATAAACAGAAGGAATCATGAGTGCACAACAGAATGCTGGTGCTCAATACACATTTGAGTAATTGATTAATTGCCACTCCTCTCGGGTTAGTGACATACTCAGGAAGTGACCTGGATGATCACAAGGACTGCTGTTGTTTCTGACCACACTGTGATTATTTAAGCCAGCTTTGTTCTTATTACTGCAGCACAAAAGATGTGATGACTATTCTTCAGTGAGTCAAGGGGTTCAGTCCCATTGGGAGAGAGAAAGGAGATAAGATAGACATCCCCATGCTGCTCTTTTGTGTAGCAACAGGAGTGTGTTTGGGTATTGCTGTTTTGATGACTCAGTAGTGAGTCAGTTTTAAAGTTCTGTAAAAGGCCTTGTTCAGCTCAGACAGGATTAAAATGAGCTCATTTGGTAGCTCATTGGGTAGAGAGGACTGGGTGGTGTGTGATTCGATCAGCTGATTGGTGGTGTAAATATGTACATGGAAAAAACATATCGGCAAGGATGAAACTGGTTCCTAAGTGCAGAAATCTACTGTCCTTGGCAGTCATCGACTGAGTGCCTACTCTGTTCAAGCACCATCCATGTCCCACCCATGTCTCATTACCTTTAAAGAGGTCAGAATATGAGAAATGTGTTAAGTGCTACAAAGATCTGGGGTTTTGGGGATCCCTGGGTGGCGCAGCGGTTTGGCGCCTGCCTTTGGCCCAGGGCGTGATCCTGGAGACCCAGGATCGAATCCCACATCGGGCTCCCGGTGCATGGAGCCTGCTTCTCCCTCTGCCTGTGTCTCTGCCTCTTTCTCTCTCTCTCTGTGTTGACTATCATAAATAAATAAAAATTAAAAAAAAAAAAACAAAGTCTTTATATTAAAAAAAAAAGATCTGGGGTTTTGAAGGAGCTGGGAAAGGGCTGTGTACTGCCAGCTATATGGTAGGCACTGAGCTTTACCTGTTTATCTTATTTAATCTTTATTTAAAATTTGTTTTATGAATGAGGCAATTTATTAACCCAGCATTTGTTCTAATGCTTCTTATTGGCAGCTGCCACCTGTCCTGTGATTCAGTCCAGATCTCTCTTTCCCTGAGGTGTCAGTTTGTGGCCCCCATCTCAGTCCTTCACCACTATTTTCAGCACCTCTAGGGCTTGGAAGATCCTGCAAGCCATGCTCTTGAAGCTTCTACTGAAGGGCTGGGCATGACCTGGTTTTTCTGACATCCCTGGTAGATTTTGGTCATGGAGCCCACCCCAGTGCTGCCCGGGGGGTACAGATGCCATACTGTGGAAGCAGCTCAGGTATAGAACCAGTTCTTGGTGGCGCAGCGGTTTGGCGCCTGCCTTTGGCCCAGGGCACGATCCTGGAGACCCGGGATCGAATCCCACGTCGGGCTCCCGGTGCATGGAGCCTGCTTCTCCCTCTGCCTGTGTCTCTGCCCCCCCCCCTCTCTCTGTGACTATCATAAATAAATAAAAGTTAAAAAAAAATTTTAGAACCAGTTCTTATCATAGGGAGCAAGCTCTTTAAGCTTGGCTAACTTGACAGTGTCTACCCATTCAGGGACTTTCAGCCCTCCAGGCTCTTTGAGGAAGGCTGCCAGAGCTATGACTAACTCCTGCTGGTTCACATCTTTTATAGTAACTCCAGGCATCATGTGGCCTCTGTGCTGCCAGCCAGGGGGAAAAAAAAAAGACTTGGTTAATCTTTGAAGGAACCCTCTGAGAGAGGTATTTTATTCACATTTTACAAAAAAAAAAATGAAACCCAGACAGGTTCAATGCCTATATATACAGTCATGAGGCTAATACTATTGAGACCATTACTCCTGGCTTAAGGACTAGCTCTTTCTATCCCAGCAAGAGTGGGGTAACGTGAGGGTGAGAACTAATTGGAAGACTTGGTGAAGTCAGGGTTGCTGGACCCAGCCAGTGTGCCGGTTATTCAATGTGATGCTGGAGTCTAAACAGGAGAGCACACATCTTGTCTGGTGTGAATGAGGGAAGTGGGATCCAGAGAAAGTTAGACTTGCACCTTTACTTTTTTGTTTTGTTTTGTTTTACCGTAAAACCCACATGTATTTCAAATTCTAAAATCAGGAGGAAATATTACAAAGATTGATATTATCTTATGTTGTGGAGAGTATAGGGAAATGCATTCTTATCTACTGTGGGAGGTGGGTGTAAATTGGCACCATTTTTAAAAGACTGTTTTGGGGGTACCTGGGTAGCTCAGTTAAGCACACCTACTCTTGATTTCAGCTCAGGTCATGGCCTCAGGGTCATGAGATGGAGCCCCGCCTTGGGTCCACACTCTGCAGAGAGACTGAGATTTTCTCTCTCTCTTCATCTGCCCCTCCCCACACTTTTTCCTCAAATAATCTTTTTTTTTTTTTTTTAATTTTTTATTTATTTATGATAGGCACACAGTGAGAGAGAGAGAGAGAGGCAGAGACACAGGCAGAGGGAGAAGCAGGCTCCATGCACCGAGAGCCCGACGTGGGACTCGATCCTGGGTCTCCAGGATCGCGCCCTGGGCCAAAGGCAGGCGCCAAACTGCTGCGCCACCCAGGGATCCCTCTCAAATAATCTTTTTAAAAGGATTTTTTTGATGATTTCTGTTATAATTTAAGTATTTATATTCTTTGACGTAGCAGCTCTACTGAAATGTTTATATAGATTTGCAAAAAATATGTCAAAGAATGTTTATTACTATGTTAGTTCTTTTTTTTTTTTTTTTTAGGATTTATTTATTTATGATAGAGAGAGAGGCAGAGACACAGGAGGAGGGAGAAGCAGGCTCCATGCCGGGAGCCCGATGTGGGACTCGATCCCGGGACTCTAGGATAGTGCCCTGGGCCAAAGGCAGGCGCTAAACCGCTGAGTCTCCCAGGGATCCCCTACTATGTTAGTTCATTCAGTGGAATCTCATAGGATTCTCCTAAGAGTTTAGTACACCCCTGGTCACTGGGAGCCATGAAACAAAACAAAATCCTCACTTTCATGAAACTTTTGAGGCCTTTGCTGAAAACAAGGCATAAGTAAACAAATGTATAAAAAATATCAAGTAGTGACAAGTGCTATCAAAAAGAGGAGTAAGGGGGATCCCTGGGTGGCACAGCGATTTAGCACCTGCCTTTGGCCCAGGGCGCGATCCTGGAGACCCGGGATCGAATCCCACGTTGGGCTCCCGGTGCATGGAGCCTGCTTCTCCCTCTGCCTGTGTCTCTGCCTCTCTCTCTGTGTGTGACTATCATAAATAAATAAAAATTAAAAAAAAAAAAGAGGAGTAAGGGATTAAGAAGTGGGAGGGGGGCAGCCCCTGTGGCCCAGCGGTTTAGTGCCTGCTTTTGGCCCAGGGTGTGATCCGGAGGCCCCAGGATCAAGTCCCACATCGGACTCCCTGGATGGAGCCTGCTTCTCCCTCTGCCTGTGTCTCTGCCTCTCTCTCTCTCTCTCTCTCTCTCTCTCTCTCTCTCTCTCTCGATGTGTGTCTCATGAATAAATAAATTAAAAAAAAAAAACCTGTTAAGAGTTGTTATGGACTGAATGAGAGAACAAGTCAAAGTGCCTAGATGCCAACTAAGGAGAGAGCCTAACTAAAGCATAAGGAAAGCCTTACTGTTGTCTCTAAAACAGGATGGGGCAGACAGAACTTTGACACAGGGATCCCTGGGTGGCGCAGCGGTTTGGCACCTGCCTTTGGCTCAGGGTGCGATCCTGGAGACCTGGGATCGAATCCCATGTCGGGCTCCCGGTGCATGGAGCCTGCTTCTCCCTCTGCCTGTGTCTCTGGCTCTCTCTCTCTCTCTCTCTCTCTCTCTGTGTGACTATCATAAAAAAAAAAATCTATAAAAAAAAAGAACTTTTTTTTTTAATTTTTTTTTAATTTTTTTTTTAATTTTTATTTATTTATGATAGTCACAGAGAGATAGAGAGAGGCAGAGACACAGGCAGAGGGAGAAGCAGGTTCCATGTACCGGGAGCCTGACGTGGGACTCGATCCCGGGTCTCCAGGATCGCGCCCTGGGCCAAAGACAAGCGCCAAACCGCTGCGCCACCCAGGGATCCCAAAAAAAAAACTTTGACACAAATCCTAAAGGCTTATACCTTTGCCTTTTAAAAATTTATTTATTTATTTATTTGTTTGTTTGTTTGTTTATTTATTTATTTATTTGATTATTTATTCATGAGAGACAGAGAGAGAGAGAGGCAGAGGCAGAAGTAGGCTCCATGTGGGACCATCCCTGGGACTCCAGGATCACACCCCAGGCTGAAGGCGGCGCTAAACTGCTGAGCCACCTGGGGTCTCCTCTTTTTTTCTTTAAATCAGGGGAGACCGTGAATGCAGTCCCCCACTATCACAAATTATGCAGTCCAGTTTCCCACATTTTGGGAAATCACAGGCGTCTGCACAAACAGAGTGTAATAGATAAGCCTCTATTACCCTGGGAATACCACCTTCATGATCATGGTATTTCCCCTGTCAGGTAAGTATATCCTTACCTTTTCTGATATATTGGAGCTTTCCTCTCAGGTCACTGATGTCTGAGCGCTCCTTCCCTTTCCTCACTTCCCCTCATCCCTATCCCCCTCTTCTACTTTTGCTCTTGAAAAAGGAGCCTGTGCTTCTGTTTTCTTAGCCTACTTACTCCATCTGGACTAGCCTTCCTTCCCCTCTCATACAGGCAACTCTGTGCTCTGGCCGCAGTGTGTGCTGAGGTGCTGATAAGGAAGAGGGCTTCCAGGACCCCCCTGATTTATTACAGGCTCACTTCTAAGTGCAGAATAAAAAGGCTTCATCCATGGTTACCAGCTTCAGAAAACTAACTGAGCCAGGAGCTTGGTTTGGGGGATAGGGTTGCTCACACACACTCCTGCCAGCATTGACCAAACCACCTGCATTGCCATCAAGATTTTTGAAGTGCTTAAGCCTTAATTAAGCATTTGATGTCCACTCCCACTCCCATCTACTACTACCAAACTCCGCTGACTTCCTGGGCCCTGAGTATCCATATGTTTGTCAACTAATTGTTAGAAACAACACAAAAAAAAAAAAAAAAAAGAAAGAAAGAAAGAAAGAAAGAAAGAAAGAAAAAGAACACAGCACAGAAAAATGGCCAGTATACAATAAATATTCAAATGGTCTTTATACAGTTTCTAACAATTTTTTTCAGTTGGTTATTTTGGATTTCTAGATAGACAATCATATAATTGATAATTCTCTTCTAGTATTTATGACTTATTTGTTTTATTGTCTGATTGTATTAACTAGCACTTCCAGAACAACATTAAATAATAGGAGAAGTGTTCAATAGCCAGTTAGCTCAGTTGGTTAGAGCATGGTGCTAATAATAGTAGAGGTGGTTTTATCTTTTAAATATATATATATATATATATATATATATATATATATTTTTTTTTTTTTTTTTACTTATGATAGTCACAGAAAGAGAGAGAGAGGCAGAGACACAGGCGGAGGGAGAAGCAGGCTCCATGCACCGGGAGCCCGACATGGGATTCAATCCCAGGTCTCCAGGATCGCGCCCTGGGCCAAAGGCAGGCGCCAAACCGCTGCACCACCCAGGGATCCCAATATTTTATTTGTTTATTCATGAGAGACACACAGAGAGAGGCAGATACATAGGCAGAGGGACAAGCAGGCTCCCTTGGGGAGCCTGATGTGGAACTTGATCCCAGAACCCCGGGATCATGACCTGAGCCAAAGGCAGACGCTCAACCACTGAGCTACCCAGGCATCCCTTGCTCTTGACTTTAATGGGACTATTAAGAATAATACTGCTGGGGGTGCTTGGCTGACTCAGTTGGTAGAGCATGCAACCCTTAATCACAGAGCTGTGAGTTCAAGTCCCATGGTAGGCATAGAGCTTACTTAAAATAAATACCAAAAAAAGTAATACTGATTGATTAATGTATACATCTGTGTGGGTACATATGCACAGGGTTTCTACCTGTGTTATGTTAAAAAAGTATTATTTTCCTTTTATCAGGATATTTGTGAGGAGTGAATATTAAATGATATCAAATTTTTAGCATTTCTCTTAATTATTCTGCTTTTTCCTCTTTTGATTTATCTAAATGGTGAATTGGATTAATGGATTTCCTTATACCAATTTCTGCTTCCTGAAATAAATGTTTACAAAATTATGTTCATGTATTTCATTTAGGCATTTTGCCTCTGTATTTATAAATAAGACTGGTCCCTAGTTTTTCTGTTGTACAATCTTTCTAAGATTTTGGCTTCATGAAATACTGGGCTGTCTACTTCTTTCTCTATGTTTTGGAACAGCTTTAATAGAATGATTGATTTCTTGAAAGTTTTGAAAGAAGTTGCTTGCAAACGTATTCAGACCTTTTTTTTTTTTTTTTGCGGTGTATGGCTTTTGACAGATCATGATTATTTATGTTTAGATTTTCTCCTATCTTTGAGTCCCTATTGGTAGATAATTTATATTTCCTGAGTATTATCCATTTCATTCAGATTTTAAATTTCATTAGCATAGGACTGGGCAAATGCTGACTGCATCCTCTCCCTTGTATTTCTCATTGTTTCTTCCGTACCCATCTGTAAACCTTTTCTCATTCCTAATTTATACATTTATGCTTTGTCTTTCATTTTTATTATGTTAGCTGGTGGCTTATCAGTTTTGTTTTTTTGCTTCTTCCCAACCCAAAGAACTAGATTTTCGATTTATTCATCAGTTATATTGTTTTTCTGGTTTTGAAATCGTTCACTCATGTCTTTGCTAACTCCTTTCACTTTCTTTGTATTTTGCTTTGTGCTGTGGCTTTTTTTTTCCCCTTCTAATTTCCTGTGTTGTCTGCTCTCTTACTGAACTTTTCTTTTTTCTTATTCAGCAATAAAAATGTTTAAGGCCATACATTTTCTTGTGAATACAACTTTGGCTGCATTCCATAAATAGTGTTTCATTGAGTTATATTTAAAATAGTCTCAGGGGATCCCTGGGTGGCTCAGCAATTAAGCGCCTGCCTTCAGCCCAGGGCGTGATCCTGGAGTTCCGGAATTGAGCCCCATGCCTGCTTCTCTCTGTGCCTGTGTCTCTGCCTCTCTCTCTCTGTGTGACTATCATAAATAAATAAAAATAAAAATAAATAATAAATAAAATGACACATAAAAAAAAGACACAAATTAATTCTATTACATTTCTGGAGATCAGAAGTAAAAAAAATTAGTTTCCTGGGTTAAAGTCAAGGTCCATTAATGCTGGTTCCTTTTGGAAGCTCTGCTAGAAAAATCCATTTCCTTGCCTTTCTGAGCTCCTAGTAGCCACCTACATTCCTTGGCTTAGGGCCCCTTTATCCATCTTTGAGGCTTGTCACTCCAGTCTCTGCTTCTGTCACCACAGGACCTTCTCCTTTGACTATCACTTTCTATGTCCCTCTTACAAGGACCACATCAGGTTCATCCAGATAATCCAGGATTGCCTCTCCATCTAAATATTCTTAATTTAATTACATCTGCAAATTCCCTTTAGTCATAAAAAATAACACAGATTCTGAGAATAAAGACATGGATATATTTGGGGGCTGTTATTTAGCCTGCTGATACCTGTGACCAGTCCACCCCAGAACCTCTTGCTTAGAAGCATCCCACTCAGTGCTGAGGCTTGGAGGACCTGATAGAGCAAGACTCTCCCATGACTTATTTAAGTAGTCCTCCAGTAAGATGTTTTCAAACTTCTCCTATTATGAGCAATGTTGCTTTGAGTATTCTTAACATCACTTCTCCAAGTGTGAATGTATCCTTAGGATACATTATTAGGCGTAGAGTTGCTGGTCAAAGGGTATGGTCACTTTATTTTATTTTAAATATTTTATGTATTTATTCATGAGAGACACACAGAGAGAGGTAGAGACATAGGCAGAGGGAGAAGCAGGCTTCTCGAGGGGAGCTCGATGTGGGACTCAATCCCAGGACTCCAGGACCATGCCCTGAACCGAAGGCAGACGTTCAACCACTGAGCCACTCAGGCATCCCAAGGATATGGGCGCTTAAAATGTATTTCCCTATATCCTGGCTGACAACAGATCAACTTTTTAATATATATATTTACCAATTTGATAGGTGAAAAATGGGGTCTCAGTTTAGCTTTTTTTTTTCTTTTCTTTTTAACTTTTTTTTTTTTAATTTTTTTTTTTATTTATTTACGATAGTCACAGAGAGAGGGAGAGAGAGAGAGGCAGAGACACAGGCAGAGGGAGAAGCAGGCTCCATGCACCGGGAGCCCGATGTGGGATTTGATCCCGGGTCTCCAGGATCGCGCCCTGGGCCAAAGGCAGGCACCAAACCTCTGCGCCACCCAGGGATCCCTTCTTTTTAACTTTTGAAATAATTTGGGCATAGTTTTACATTGGGTTTCATTCAATAGCAGGAAGGAAAAAAAAATAGCAGGAAGGGTCCCTTGGAGTTCTGCTAGGATAACCATAGCCACAGTTTAGCAATTCAGGGGAACAGGAGAAGTGACTAAAGCAGAGTCAATCCTCAGGAACAAGGTCAGAGCCCCCTTACTAGACTCAGACCCAAGTGCAGGGCAGCAAAGGATATTTATCCTCATAGTTGCTGCCTAAGAACATGGAATAGGAGCTACCGGCATCCTCTTGCCTCCAGTCATGGTAGACGCCTTCCAGTCATGGTAGACACTGGGACGTTGGGCTGCGGCCTGTCTTTGGTGAGCAAGTGACTCCCTGTGGAGATGGGCGGACAGCCCTATCGACCTTCCCCTGAGACTGTAATGTGATGCTAAATGCCAAATACTGCCAGCAACCTGCCCATCCATTAGGACAGGGCTTAGTACTGCTGAATGTTGCTAGGAGTAAGTGACTAGGGCTTGGGACTCCTCAGACCTGGCAGGTATTTGCCCTGTCAGTGCTTGTGTGAGAGAGATATTCAGTCCTCGGCACGTCCAAATTACAAAAATTGCCACTGGCATCTCAGGACTAAGTCTGAGATGCCCTCAGAAATATCTCTTTGGGGCAGCCCCGGTGGCGCAGCAGTTTAGCGCCGCCTGCAGCCCGGGGCGTGATCCTGGAGACACTGAATCGTGTCCCACGTCAGGCTCTCTGTATGATGCCTGCTTGTCCCTCTGCCTGTGTCTCTGCCTCTCTCTCTTTCTCTCTCTGTCTCTATGAATAAATAAATAAAATATTTTTAAAAAAAGAAATATCTCTTTGGTCAATATGATTATAAAGCCAAAAGTGGCTGACAGATTGGGCAGGGAGACACAACTAGTCTTCCAGGTCTGATGTGGGCATGTCCTCCTTGGTATCATCCCAGCAACCTGAAGAGGCAGGGTCCTTCTCTTCCCATCACTCAACCAGCATGAAGTAACTTCCTTTCAGGTAGAGAAAAGACTACCTCCTCTCACCCTACTCTGGCCCAGGCTGGTTGATTTGTTCTAGAAGGAGGTGGTGCAGCAAAATGCATATGGTTGTGGATTGATTCCTGAACCTACATAA